CTTGCTCTAGAGATGTTGAGTACCTTTTACTAAAAACCCTTCTAGATGATACTATTCCTTTGGTTTTAAATATTTATGCAATGATTTTTAGATCAGGCAATTGGAAGGCATATATTGAGGCTTGTGTAAGAGTATGGTATTTGTTTGCTCGATTTAAACGAAGAAATTATAATAAAGTATCATTATTCTTTCTTTCAGATGTTTGGTATTAGAAAAGCATTAATCATCCTATTCTTAAGGTTCTGAAAAATCATTTTGTAGCATTTAATGACTCTTCAGCATAATGCAAATGCCTTTAGTAAATTTGACTGATTTCTACACACAACTATTATCTAAAGTTTGTCTGATGCAGTTTCAAGATTGATAAGACAGATTTGTTTTAGTGATCTTAGATCATTTTTCTAGTGCAAAGTCATACAAATTATAAATATGATAGCTTCTTCATTATGTATTTTAGCAAATTCGTCTAACTTTCATAATTGCATCTCTATATTCTATATAAGAATAAGCGTACAATCTCTTATGAGAGCTAAAATTAGAAACGGTTACTTATTATTTTTAGGTCTTCTACTGGTTGAAGATGATTTATAGAAATATGAAAATCATATGTATGATAAGGATGTCTTCTATATTTATATTTGCTTATTATAGACCAGCCAGAAATTGTGATTCTATTTTCTCTAGCTACTTTACGATAAAATGGGTACATATCATCTAAAGCGATTTTGAATTTTCCATCTTAGATGACTTGAAAGGCTTTCTTTCTATCTTCAGTACCAAGCGTAAAAATTTATAGATATGACTTTTTCTGTATGATAACTGTAGAATGGGAAGGCCTTAATATATTCTATTTTATATTCATTTATGGCAATATAAAGAATTTCGTCTATTTTTATCTTAAAATCGTCTATGGATTCTTTATTTAATACAAGAATATTAAAGAATACCTGCAATTCTATAAGAGTAACTACTACTTTTTAGCTATTGATAAGATGGCTATTGATAAGAGAGCCATAAAGACGTAAAACGTAACAGTACTTTTCACCTATTTTTTCTGATAAACTCTTAAAATCAACAGCCATGAAAGGAATCTCTTGGTAATTGGATAAAGTATTATCAAGGATTATAGTTAATCCCTCATCATTTTTCGCAACTATATCATTTCAAGTTAGAATATCATTTAAGTAGTTTTTACTAGAATAGCGAATTATCTGACCTATCATTTTATCTTTTTTAGCCTCTAGGTGAAAAAGGATAGAGGTGTCGAGGAATTCTGAAAGCTCGGATTAGGTCATAGTATTATATAACAAATATACAGTTTGAGAGAAAGTATATACTTTAGGAGAAAAAAGTTCAAAATAAAAATTAATTCTGAAATATATAAATCGATACATAATCGAACTATTTATAGTTATCAAAAATGGCATTTTATCGATATCCATATACTCATTAAACTGAAGAAGTTTATAATTGGGGGGTGCTTTCACCTAAAAGCAGTGTTGTTATGGGACATTGATGGGACACTGATGGGACATAAATGGGACAGATAGGACATTTAGGACATAGTGTGAGACAGGTTAGGACATATAGCTGGGACATATAGCTGGTACAACAAATCTCTGGGACATCAAAAATGTACATCACTGCCTAAAAGGATGCCAAATATATCAGAATTCTGCCTTATATATATTTTGTATTGAATGTGATAAACGAACTTATTCTAAATATGGATTTTGTGATCTATATGCTAGAAAGCATTGTAAAAGAAAACAGTACTATCGAAAAAAGTTGACTAAGCAAGTTGAGAATATGTTTCAGCAAACTGTTCTAGAAATTCCATCCTAGTTTCTATTCTAGTTGTCAAAATTTTCTAGGACAGATAAAATATAGCTAGATGGTAATTTTAAAATGAATAAAAGGAAAAAAAATAATCCATTCTAGTTGTCCTAGTTGTCCTAGTAAATTTCAGACTTCTTTACTTTTTTTTTATTTTTTTTACCTATAGATATACCAGTATATCTATAGGTATATAGCATACAAATTGTATACATACTGTATATTATATATATAGTATAAGATGGGTTATAGTTTTTTTTTCTAGAATATTTATTTTATTAGAACAACTAGGATAATTAGAACATAATATAAAAGAACAAGTTAAATTAAAGAAAGAAGCCCTTCTTTTATATCAAAACCTGTCCTAGTTCCCATCTTAGTTAATCCAATAATTTAGATAACTAGAACAGATTATGTCTTCACATGGCAAATATGGAATTGCATTTTTATAGCATAATACCTTGGCCTTCACTTCTGATGTCAAATAGGTAATCAATAAGTAGAATTAAACTTAACCAGTGATATTGTGTAAGCTATCTAATATGATTTGTTACCCTATTGTAACAAGACCAGCTTCTAGACCATATTATTCAAAATCTTCTTTACTAGTTTTAAGGAAAGCACAATCATTATTTTCAGAAAAACAGTAAACAGTATTCACAGTTTTTGAATTATGTAATAATTCAGAATTTTCAGAAAGTCTATAATTATAAAAGAGCATTCAGTACCATAATAGGATCACGTAATTGGTGCAGTAAGGCATAGTATAAAATCAGCTAGCACATAAATTCAGCCAGATCCTTAAACATAATAACTCAGCATTCAAGTTAATATACAAGTGGTCTGAAATTAGTGAACTAATAGAATCTCTTTAGCTTTTCACCAGTTCTCTAATAGTTTCATAATAATTCCATAACACTATATGATACTATTAAATTACTATCATAGCGCTGAGCTAGATCCTCAAATCACATACCCAATAGATTAGTCAAAATTAATCACAGATCTACTACGCCACCCGACACAATATTATTTTATTATATTTTAAAATCTAGAAAAATAACCAAATAGGTGTAAAGGATAAACATTTCAATATAGAATCTAACACCCAACCAGGTATATGAGGTTAGCATTCTCAACATAAAATTAGATATCCAAATAGCTACAGAGGGCTAATAACTTCATTATAGAATTTAGCATGTAAACGACTCAGAAATAAGAAGAAAAGCGTGATATTTAGATTATATAGGTGTGATAATTAGATTATATTATGGTAATAAAAGTATATTAGTATAAAAACACAAATATCAAGAAAGACTTAAAAAACATAACTAGAATGTAAAAGTGATATAAAAAATAATAAAATATTAGATTATATGTGGTATTCAGACTGTATCATTTAGATTATATGTGATAATTAAATTACATCATTTAGATCATATGTGGTATTCAGATTCTATGTGTTATTTAGATTACATGTGATATTCAGATTATATGTGATATTTAGATTATATGTGATACTATAATCTAGGCTAAGTGGGATACCACATGTAATATAAATTATATTACATATGGTATCCCACTATATCAATAATATTTATAGAAATAATTAAGAGTTTTAGAATTTAATTTCATAAATATTTTTTTTTGCTATGTAATTATACCAAGATTATGTTTAATGTTATATATTAAAGATATAAAAGATAAAGAGCATCAGTTATTAGTCAATCATATTATAAGGATAAATTAATGATCTCATAGTTTATATATTATTTTTAAAAATAAATATTAAATAATATTAAATAAGTAATAATTTTTTATAAGTATATAATAGTTTTAATTTAAATAATTAATAATAAACTATTACTTTTTTAATAATAATCAATTTAAACCTATATTTTACAAAAAGAGATTAAAATAAGTAGCTAATTATATTTAAAATAAAAATAAAGTAATTTAAGATTTAATAATTATAAATTTAATATAATTTTTTTAGCATAATTTTTATTTTAGAATTTGTAAGTGCAATTTATATATTTTTATTATAACTATGTCTAAATCTTATGCTATATCATATTAATAAAATCTAGTGATAATATTATTTATAAAGATTTTATAGATTACAAAATATTTTTTAAATATATATATTTCAGTTAAATATCAATGTTAAAAAAGATATAAAATTACTAGTAATTTTTTTTTCTCAAATATAATAGATGTATATCATCTGATTCGTAGACAACTCTCGAGACATGATAACGGAAAAAAAAATTATTTTTTTTCTGATTGGATATTTGCAAAAACGACGTTTTAATAAATATAAATCGATCTAATCGCGGATCAGTGTAAATGGTGCAATTTAAGAAAATTCTATGATATTCCAAATCCCGTGTTCACGTTTCTTAGGCAGGTATAATATATGACGACTATTGCGCAACTAAATTATATCATATTTTTATCATTAATTAAATATATAATTAAATATGTCGGGAAAATATTAAGGTAACACTCAGTATTTGTTTGTGATATGCATTTTCACTTTCTTCCTATATTAAGTTAAACATCAATGCAGTATAATAATGACATCATTAAAACGTAATGTGGATCGATAATCAGTATTGGAAATCGAGAAAAATCGAAAAAAATAAAAACCAATTTTGCTCAGATCGACAATCGTTTAAAATTCTGCATTTTTTAAAATCAAGTTTTTTTAACAGCTATCTTTTTTTCGGTTTAAGTTACATAGGTTTCTTCCTCGTAAAAAAATTTCTCATTTTTTTTTTTTTGTTAAAATCCCTTAAAAAGAAAATTTTCCATACTTTAATATCTCCTTTTAACATTCTTTTAATTACCCATATCTCTAAATCACAAAGTTTCGTTTTAAAAATGCTAAATTTTGCGCCAAATCATTTTCTTGGATATTTTTATAAAATATATGTTGTTCTGTAACCGATTAATTTCTCTTTCTGTACGAGTATTACTGACCTTTACTTTCGTTACCCAAACAAACCATTTTACAAGAATAATATTCTTTACAATTTAAAAATTATTTTATTTTAATAAAAAAAAGTATTTTTCTAAAAAAAAAAAAAAGTTTTCTACTTAAAAAAAGAAATAAAGATTTATACTTATAAAGTTAGCAAATTAATAATATTATGACTTCCATGACTTCTCTTAAGGCGACAAAGGCTTGTGATAATGATTCTCGAAGACAAACCACAATGTCCATGACTTGGAATATACCCCAACATAAAAATAATTTGCAGACAAAGAGCGACGAAGAATCTGAAATGAACTCTCTTCTTTCGGACAAATCAAGTAGTGCTGATAGCCCAAGAGAGTCCTCAAGTATTGAAAGAGAAATGGACGAAACGAGCAGAGAAAGAAGGAACGGTAGTAGTAACAGAACATGTTCAAAGAAAAGTTCAAGTTCGATGTCTACTACAGAATTATGGTTTAAAGAATTTAATCAAAATACTAGAGAATTGAATAATATTGATGACGGTAAGTTTACGTGTCAAATTGAATCAGATGAATGAAATAAAACAGAAGAGTTCTTATATATCAAAACGAGTCATTAAATAACAAAAAGTGTAAATAATATATTAAAGTTTTGTAAAATTTTGGCAAATGGCGAAATTTTGAATTTTAGATAGCGAAACCCCTTATTACGTAAATTCTTACAAATCTCATCCTAAACCTGTGTTAAATCAACAGTCATCTATAACATCAAGGCATCATCAACGTGCTGGACACTACGCCCATGGACATCGTATGCCATCAAGTCGTAACTTTTCAAAGTCGCCACATCATGGTAACTTTAAAAAACGTGACAGATCTTCAGGCAGCGATTCTTATCGTTCAGTTATCGACGATTTAACTTTGAAAAGTAAGTTGATAATCTTTTGTGTCAATTAATTAAGGTTCTTCTCACTTTTATTCACGTCATCTCTTTTGTAAAGATCAAAAATTGCGTCAAAAACTTCGAAAAATGGAAGGTAGTCACGCAAAAACATTACATAAAGAAAAATTATTTGAAGTGCGATACTATCAAATGCCCAGGTATATAAACATTTATACTTACTATATATTCTATATCAATCAAAATTCGCTGACACAAATTAAACTTTTAGAGAGAAGCGACACGAATTGGAAGAATATCTTAGACAATTCGCCGCTCAGGTAGATATTATGAGCGTGAAAGAAAATGTAAAACAGTCTTGCAAACGATCATAATTGATCTTTTAATTTTACTTTTACACTTTTTAGTTACCAACGCCCACGTCAAGTTCTACAAATTTGACTCAAAGCCCAATAATCGAAAATAATTCCAAAACAGAACACTTAACTCCCGTTAAAGCAAATGATAAATTAAAGATGAAACAAGTCGTTAGAGCTATTGAGAATGTATTTACCGTCCAACCATCAACAGATGATCATTATCTAAAAGATCAAGAAGATGCAGATCCCGAAGGATACGTTTATTTAAATCTTTTGACGAATATGGCACAATTACATACAATGAGCGTTACTTTGCCATTCATTAAACAAGCTATTCGAAAATTTTCAAATTGTCTAGAATTAAATGAGGACGGTACGAAAGTTCGATGGCGTACAGGGTTGGATCATGTTAAACCTGATACCATAGAAAATAAAGATGTTGATATAATGGGAAGTGGAAGAAGTGTCGTAATGTCTTCAATAGGTGTAAGCGAAAGCAAAAGTATTGGTGATAAACAAAGTGATTCTTCACCATCGATTCCGTCTGCTAAACCAATCCAAAATTTTTCTGACCCAATGAGTATTACGCCATCCTCTTTAACTTCATCTAACGGTTCAAAACCTAACAATCAACAAACCGAATCACCATCTGTAACATCTTCAATAGCCCATTATCGTCCCGTATTTCTTCATCGTAGTCTTAGTTCGTCCCCTTCTTCAGATGAATCTAGTAGCGTAATCGATCAACATGATGGTCCAGTTATCTACTATGAAGGAGGTTTATTCTGTACCGACTTTAGTAGGAGCGTAATGATAGACGATGATGATGATAAACAAACATCATCACGTCCAAGTCAATCATTGGGGCTCGATCGTTCAATTGGAGACGTTGATAATATTGACGTCATTCAAGAGAGATGGAATGTTCCGGTTTATGAAAGAGCAACGAATTTGATTTTAGGTGGAAGCAATATTGTATTAAGTGAAACAAGTGAGGAAGATATCAGCAGCGGGCAAGAGGCAGATGACGAAAGGTAGAGTACCGTATCATCAAATGTTATTAATTGAATTTTTTTTATATGGCATTCTTCTAGCAAAATTAATAAACTTTCTAAATTTTTTATATAGTCCAATAAAATCATGTAATCATCGCAATACGAGTGAACACCCGCATATGTTCGTTGATGACCTAAACTCCATGGATGCTAACAATGAATTAAACAATATTCTAATGAAAAAGGACATTAACCTTGATTCTAGACGAGTACAGTCATCACCGGGAAAAAATTATGATGAGATCAATGATTGGAACAATGATGATCCTAAAATTTCATCATCACAAACTCCAATACCAAGCAACGATTCGAAACAAGATTTACCAAATTACAAAAAATTACATACTGCTAAAGTTCCTGGAGTTATTACAGAAGATAATTTCATGGTATTAGTACAAACTTCACATCCTACGAGAGGAACACGTCATGGGCATCGTCGTCATAAATCAATTACAACTTCATCTAAAAAGATCTCTCACTCCAAAGAATCTTCAATTGATGATGATACTTCAATGAACGCGTCAAGCAGCGGTAGTAGTACAGATATCGAAGGGAATAACGGAAAATCAAAATCACATCAAGTACTCTCAACAAGATTATTTCAATTACCTCCTTCTTCGAGTCCACAACCAAGGGTTTCACCGACACCGGGATTTAGAACATCAAATTTACAAAAAACTTCTTCGGATAGTGGTGGTGGATCATCCGATCACGGGTCATCATCATGTTCAGAATCTTCCACATCAGCTGCTACACATGATAATTCATATTTATTCAAAAACAATACTTTACTTCAACTATTACAATCAAGCGACTCAAAAACCTCCCAATATGATGAGGTACAAGATATGGACCTTGATTCACTTTCATCCGATTCATCTGACCCTTCACCCTTTATAAATATTGATGATGATGATGATGATGATGAAATAGGCGGTGACAAACATCACCATAATCGTGAAAATCGTATTGAAGAAAGTAATCTAGGTAAGAACTTGAGATTACAAGATGCCGTTATTGAAGAACGTAGAAAGGTTGTTAATCATCCACAAGAACAGAATGTTAAGGTCAGTAAATATCTAATATATATTTCTATGTTACATTATTGTAATACATTTGATTGATTTCAAATATTTTTTTTATTTAAATAGATGTTAAATGATTTAGTAGCGACCAATCGCGCTATAATTCAAGCTTTACCATTTTATAATCAACAAATGAACCTTCAACACATTCCTGGATGGGACGTTCAGCGATCAAACCTTAATACGAACAATTTAGGAGATATTCATCAAAATAACAACAGTCATAATAATTCGTATAAAAACAATAATAATAATTAAAATGAATTGTGTATTTTTTTTTTATCATGTGCTTAAATAAGAACTTTAATTATGAGAAATTATTATATGAATTACATTTAAGCAATTAATTTATTTGAATTATTTATATATTTATTCATTTATTTAAATTGAAGGATCGGTATGAAAAATAATAAATAAATCTTTATTTTAAATATTCGTCTCTAATGATTTATTATTGATTATGCTTTTAATTTGAGTGAGGAACTTTTGATTTTATTTATTACTAATTTAAAATTACTAATACACGATGTTTATAAGAATTAAGATTGTGTAGTTGGATCCAAATTCCAATATCTAATAATTATAAATAAAATTAATTTTTTTTTTTTTGATATTAGTAACGAGTAAAGACTCACCTAACACGGAAATCATCCCTAACAATTTTTAAAATGATACAAAAGAAAAAAAATTTGTTAATAAAGGAAAAATACTGAAAATCAATGAATGAAATGAACCCTTCTAATTACGCGCAGCTCATGAATCCGGATTCAGTAGGAGAAGCAGCAACGTATCGAACGATTCCCGTATGTCCTTTATTTTTATTTAAAGAAAAAAAAACAAAAAAAAAAAAAAAAAATTAATAATAATAACGATAATATTTTAAATAAAACCAAATAGTAAAAATCCATAATAATACCAGGCCAACGTATAAGCAATTTTCCAGTGCGCGAATCCCAACACACTATAGAATTATCATTTTCGTCGCTACTGATAATATAATCTTCTTCGAATAAAAATGTAGTTTGTACGTGATTATTCTAAATAACGAGAGAGAAAAAAAAATTATTTTCATTTTTTTTTGGTTAAATTGATAATTCATCTTATTCCCAGGCACAAAAGTTTTTGAAATAATTACTCGGTGTATAGCTCCTTCAAATGTTACAATGCATTTGCCGTTATTGGCATCCCATAATTTAGACGTAGAATCGCAACCACTAGAAAGTATATATGCCCCAGATTTAGAAAATTCTACGCTTGAAACTGCTTGTCCGTTATGCGCATTATCTATTGTTTGAATACACTCTCCATGTTCTCCTTCCCAAATCTTTATGGTACCATCAAGCGAGGAAGAAACAAATTGTCCACCATTTGAATTCCATCGAACCTAGATCAATCATAAAAAAAGGGAGATTATAATGTAATTTACAAATGTTTATGTATACCGAATATAAATAAATAACTTTACCTTAGTTATGCTTAATCTGTGATTAGATTGTGAACTAGATGGAATATAACATTTAATATTTTGAACATCCCAAAATCTAATAGCCTCATGGTCAGTCCCTAAGAACAAAATATTTTACTTGATAAAATAATAATAATAATAATAATAGAAATAAATTAAAGTTAAAACCTGCTAGCATGTATTCTCCGGTAGGATGAAAATCAATAGATCTGACCGGATATTTGTCCTGTAATAAAAAAATGATTTTTAGCATCGAATATAATAATTATTTAAAAGGAAAGAAATAATATATGAATCAGACCCGTAAAAATCGAAATGATCGTTTAATTCCTTGTGTTGCGATATCGAATAATTTTATATTACGATCGTCCGAACAAGAAGCGAGTGTAAGTCCATTTGGATGAAATGATAAATCATTCACACGCTTTTATAAAAAGAAGAGAAAGAACAGACATGACATAAACTTTGTCTTCATATATCTATCTATCTTTATTTAGAAATATTAAATATTATCCAGCTTACACCAGTATGATCATATAAAGTTCTTATAACGGGTCTATCTTCATCTGAGTGACTTTTCATCTTGCTAGTATCGAGAACTTTAAGCGATGAATCTGCAGAACCAGTAGCAGCAAACTTTCCTAATAATCAATCAAGTATTAAGCTTTAAAAATTTCTATCTTTTTGTTTTTTTTTCAAAGAAAGTGAGATACGCTCAATGACAATTACCATCTTTCTTAAACCTTACACATGTGGCAGCAGCTCGATGAGTTGTTATGTACCAAAGATTATAATTTGGAGTCGGCTTTGGCTCTATTAAAAATTTTCATTATAAAACATTCAAGAAAGTAATATTTTTTTTAAAAAATATATATATATATATATGTATATATTACCATAATTCGTTTCTGGATCTAAATCGGCTAGACATTTTGATGGAAAATCTTCACTCTGAGCGTCTTCATCAGAATAAGGTGAACCTTCAACCAATGCAGAAATTTCATATTCCTCATCCTCATCCCCATCATCCTCTTATTCAGAAATAAAATATTTAAATAGATATGTATTTAAAATAAAGTTCAAATAATATTAACGAAACTCTTGTAATGATAAGGATATAAACCTTCATCTTTTGACGAGTACGTTGCCGAGTAAAGTAATTCGGACAATTCTGCACTAGTACCTAAATCCATAGGGATATTTGATTCCTCTGCTAAAGATTGGGCTGTTTCTGTATACCCATAATAACGCAATTGACTAATTTTAATGATAAGGTAGTATTAAAAAAAAAAAAGAAAAAAAAAAAACCCAGATGGATAAAAAGAAATGGATCATTAAATATTTTAAAGATAATTTTAATTTTTTTAAAAAAAAACTTTATTAAATAATTTTTTTTTTTTTTTTTTTTTGAATTTGGAATACATCTTATTTTTTTAAAAAAAGAAATTCGATAATTTTTTTAATACAACAAAATCAACAAGATTTAAAATTAAAATCAACTTTAAAACCCATCTAGGTCATAAATTTCCACTTCTAAAAAAAAAAATGAAAAAGCCCTTTTATTTTTTTTTTTTTTTTTTTTTTTTTTTAAAAAAAAAAAAAATATGATTTTATTGAAAATCTATAAACTAATCACACATCTCTTACCGAACACGTTAGCTTTTCCAGACAGTAACTACATAACTCGGCTAAGCAACCCATCTATTATATCACGATTGTAAAATTTCCTTCTCCCCAACAAAATTCAAACAAACCGCTTTTCAACTACTCGAGATTAAAAAGGTTGTCTTTTCAACTCACCTAGCAATTAAAGAGATAACCTCCTCGCGGTCTAAACCTTGTTGTTCTTCCATCCTGTTAGATCTTATACTGCGCAAATCTCAACTGCGGGATCATGTAGAGAGGGCAAAACGTTTTGGTGGGTTTTGGAGAGGAGTTTGCCTCCTTTTATAATTTTTTAGATTCAAAAAAAAAAAAAACCTTGATCTGCTAAGCCACTAACCGTCGCAGTTTTTTAAGCCACCAGAACTGTTATTTTTTTTTTTTTAAAAAAAAACAATTGAAAATTCTCTTGACCAGTTTCCTGGTTATGAATTTCAATCCAGGTATTTGGTATAAAATTTCAAGATAAAGACGCAGCGAAGAAAATTTTACAGATAATCTATACGCAGTTTTTACGCAGCAGATCAAAGAACGCGTCAATAAGAATAAAAATTCAAAGTTCGTTAACTCTTTTTTTTAGGTCAAAAGAAAATAAATTTTCCTTTATTATTTATTCTCTAAAAATCATCTAAATATATATATAATATTTTTTTTTTGAATAAATTGTTAATAAAGAAAAAAACCATGTATTATTATTATTATTCTACATGAAAAAAAAAAAGTTACAAAGAAAAAAAATATATATATGAATGAATATGTGTATAAGAAAAAAATATATAACCTAATTTAAAAAAAGGGAATGAAAAAATATATAAAGGGTACGTTTGATGATGTTTTATTATTTAAATTTTGTTGTATCTACATTTTTATAAAGATATATTATATACTTGATCGAACGTCCGAAATTGATAAACCATCCTATATTACATTATTTGTTCATTTCGATCCAACAAAGAAACGCGACCAACATCATCTTATGACACACTTTCCACCATAGATACCAATGCTTTTCTATAACCCATTGAAGGTTGAATACCGCTATTAAAGAATATATTTCATGTGTTCCAAGGAATTTTGCGTATATAATCGATCCCATTGAAGGAAAATTACCAAGTAATGGGTAAAGAAAAGAACTGATCAAACTTTCCCAGCAAGATCTATTTCCTAAACAGAAAATTCTTCATTCCGCAAGAAAGATCGCGGGGTATAAGATAATATATACTAAAATATATAAAATACATAAAAAAAGAAAAAAATGTTCAGATGAAAAAACTAAAGCAACTAAGAAAAAAAAAAAAAGAAGAAAAAAACTAAATATTAATGCTAAAACTATATATATGTATATAAAAAAAATAAAAGGACAAGAAAGAGAACAATGGAAACAAAAAATAATGTTTTTTTTTTTTTTTTTTTTTTTTTTTTTTTTAGCGAGGGGAACTATAATAGAATTGATCGGAAAGAACTGCAAGATGAAATTTTTTGCTATTGTTCTTTTTTTTTTTAACAGATTTAATACTGCCGTCTCACAACCGTAACGGAAGGGAATAGGCGAAAGGCAAAACATTTAAATGCAAAAGCCTTTAATTCTCTAAACCTTATTACAATCCGTAAACGGCCCTATTGATGTTTACGCATTATCTTTTTTTATTATTAAATTATGCGAACATTAACACGACCCGGAATGCAGATAAATATTTTCGAGACGAGAATTTTTTTTTTCCTTTGACAAAAAAATTTGTCATGCTTTGCCATTAGTGAAAATTTTGATAAATATGCAAAGATATACAAGGAAACTATGCAAAAAATATATAATATATGCTATTTTTTCGAGAAGAAAAAAAAAAAAAAAACTAAAACTAAATAAAAAAAAATAAATGGTTCACTATGGCTATATATTTTTGATGACTAAATAAAAAAATATATATATATAAATAAATATAAAAGAGAACAAAAAAAGTCCATGAATTTTTTTAGAAATATTCTCGAATAAAAAATAAAGTTGCGTTGCAAGATTGTTTTTATCCACAAAAGGGGTTGGTGTTTTGTTTGTTTTTTTTTTTTTTTTTAAAAAAAAAAAAGATTCTATACAGATAATTTACAATCTTACATCTTGCCACAAGTAGTGATGTGCCTCTTCCACGCGTCTTTACGAGAGAACGGTTTTCTGCACACTGTACACTCATGAACCTTTTCACCCTTATGAATACCATTAATGTGTCGCTTCAAATCATGCTTGCGAGTAAATCTTGAGCCACAATTTGGATGATCACAAGCAAAAGGCTTGACACGATTGGGATCATGAGTTGCCCGATGTGTCTGCATGTTAAATTTACGATTGAAACCTCTACCGCAATCAGGACAATTGTACTTCTTCTCTGATTCATCATCATTCTCCTCTTCATTTTCTTCAGAAACGCTCATCGTTCGCTGACGCTTGCTTCTTCTCGTAGATTCATTATCAATGGAATCATCATCGTCTTGAGGATGAGGTCTAATCGCTAGTAATCTAGGGGCGTCCACCGGTGTGGTGGGAGCGGAATCAGGGGTTTGGGTTGGGTGAGAAATAATAAGCGCTTGCTCCGTTTTAACATTTCCTTGATCGTTTTCAAGTTTTAACAAGTCGGTGGACTCTGTCACTGATTTTGGTGGGGAAGTTGTAGTATGTTCAACAGCTGCAGCGGCAATAAGAGCTGTGTTAGGTGAAGTAGATTTGTCTGTCAGAGCAAGAGTTGAAGTATCAAGTTGACGACCCTTTGGGCTACCAGGAGCCAATTCAAGAGTATCAACCTTCTTTTCACCATTATCAGAAGGAACGGCACCAACGTACTCTGGAGAAATGGTAGCCATGTTCACTATTTGATTATTGACGTAACAGCCGTCAAATAAAGGGTCGATGGATTTCTCGTAAATAGTGTTGTCTTCGTAAACGGAAGGGGAACCTTTAAGATTACTATAATTCAAAACGTTTGCGGAAGGCGCAGCAAATAAATTGAACCAACTTCCAGTTTTTCCGCTCTCGTCGTATAAATTAGGGTCCGCACCACTTGGCTCAACAAGAGGGGTGTCGAAGGTAAGAGGAGTTTGCGGCAAAGCAAAAGGAGTATTTATAGTTGAGGCGACTGAGAATGGGCTATTAGTGACGTAAGGTGTATTGATATAGGGCGTATTTTGGGGAGTGATTAAAGGAGTGCGAGAGGGCACAGTAGAATAGTCAGCAGTGTACGGTGTTCCAAAACCGGGAACGGTCGGAGTTGAACCGATATCGTCAGATATGTGCAAGTCGCTAAAAGCGGAGGGTGAAGTATTTATTGAAAGGTTCTGATAATTATTGACCACGGGAGAAAACAAAAGGAAGTTGCTGCTGCTGTTGCTGTCTTGATATAAAGGTTCACCGGACAGAATTGGAGTGGTGTGAGCGGAATATGTTCCGTTATTTGTATATGATTCCAATAAAGGTGTTGAAGCGTTATTTTCGGAATATCCGTGTGGCGAAGCCGCAGCGAAGTCTGATTGGTTCGGTGTTGTGTAATGAAATTTTTCTTCGGCAGGTGATAAGTCGATGTGATTATCAAGAGGAGGGTGATTGTTGTTTGGAAAGAAGTTAAAATTAGTGACGTCAAGTTGTTGTTGATTTACAAGTTGAATGGCTTGCTGGCCAATTTGTTGTAAAGGGTTGTAAAGTTCATTTTCAATATAATCAGTAGTTAAAGTTGAAGTTTGTGAATAAATATTAAAATCAAAGTTATTTATATATTCAGCGTTGCTCGTATTTTCGGGAGTGGAAGTGTAATGCATTAGTTCAGTAGACGAAACGTTGTCTGTATACATAAAATTATTTAGATTGTTTGGAGCAAGGTTGTTGTTCGGAACCAAGGTGAGATCCAAGTTCACGAATAACGAAGAAAAAGACTATATTAGAGAAGGAAGAGAAAAGAATGTGAGTTTTTCCCTTTTTAGTTTTCCTTTTTTTTTCTTTTCTTTGAATCACTGAGTTGTCCTTTTCCTTTTTGTAAGGTGAATGAGAAAACTTTGCAAGTTTAGAAAGTATTTACAGTTTGTTATCAAATAATTTTTAATTTTTTTAATGTTCGTTACAAAGGGTGAAGAACAATCGAAAAATTATGTCTAAACGGAACTAAAAAGAACTATTTGCTTGAAAAAGAAACTTAGAAACTTTACGTTTAAAAATTGTATATTGTTTTTCTTTTAAACTCTTTGTAAAGAGTTTAAAATTTTTTACGAGTCGTCAAGAATTCAGGACCAGTAAGGCGCAAGAAAAAACTTTAGTCGTTTTCTAAAAAAAAAAAAAAAAAAAAAAAAATGGAAATCGACTTTGAGCTCCCCTATTTATTTAAAATGGGTAATTAGATAACGAATATAATTTTTTTTTTTTTTTTTTTTTTTTTTGATGAAGATTAGTTTTTTTTTGTGTTAATGGATCACAACACAGATAATATACTACAAAAAATATTTTTTAAAGTAAAGACCATAAATGATATAAAACTACAACAAAATAAAATAAAATAAAAAATAAAATAAATTGCATTTATTTTATTTACAATACAATCGTTGATTTTTATAATGAGGTTTATTTGTACCACACGATATTCAATCAAATATATTTGTGATTAAATTTTTTTTAAAATAGTAACGCAAAGGAAATGAACTTTTGGGCAACCATAATGAGGATTTAAATAAAAGTTTTAGTTGTAAACAATGACTCAAAATAACCCACTTCTTAAAAAGGTCGAGTAAAACGACGCTTATCGTATAAAGAAGTTTTTTAAAATTAATTGGCGAAAATCAAAAGTGACACAATGTCGATGCTTTTGGGTGGTTAATTATTATTGATCGATCAAAAGAGAAGTCTCTGCTCGAACCTTTGATCCTGACGTAGCGAAAATTCTTTTCTCTCTCTTCTCCTCTCTCTCCATTTTCACTTTCTCTCACTCCCTCTTTCTTTGCTTTACTTATCTCTTTCTCACTTTCAATCACTTCAGTAATTATATTTGTTTTTTTATAAAAAAAAATAAATTGGACTTGGCGCCCAACACGTAATGAGAAACTAATTTAGGAAGATTATGGTAAATCTTTTCCAAATTTTCGTTTTTCATATGCATATCGGTATTCAAAGTCCGGTTGAAACATTTAGGGAGTCAAATTAAAGTCCCACAGTGAGACGTTAACGGAATTTATTGAGCACCAATCGAAAATGGATACGATTATGTCAAGTCATCACATTTTGACGCTTCTTTTGAGGACAGATTCTGACGCACGATGCATAATCAGGCGGACTTTTAGCAAAGGGCAATGGGGAAACATAAAGAAACGCCGCCTCAAGAATTGTTACATTTTTGGTCAATCTGCTTGTCCCACTAGAAGGAAAGGGTATGGTTGATGTCCTATAACGGTAATTATAAGTGAGTGAAAAATGGATTAGACTCGCACCAATTAAAATTAAGAAACTTATCTATACGTGAGAAGTCGGAATGGTCAATTGACCACATAAAAAAAAACACAATATCAAAAAAAACTGATCTGATAAAGGGAATTGTGATATCAGAGAGGGAAAGTGTTTTGAAAGCATGAATGAACTTCCCGATAGGGATAAGGATATGATTTATGAGTTGATCATGCTGTGGCTAATATCTAATATTAAGGAAACGATCGACGGATTGTTTGTACTTCTGTAATGCTTGAAATAAATTTTCAAACCGGAGTTCGTCTCCTGCGAAAATTTACCTTAAATTTCCATTCGATCTAATTGTTTATTATTGTTATCTTATCATTTTTAATGATTTTAGGTTTTTTTTTTTATTTTTATTTCCTTTTCTTTTTAATTTAATTTATTTTAAAATTTAATTTAATAATTTATTTATATATATATTTTATTTTACTTATATTTTTTCAATTTACGTTATCGGATTTTCAATAAGCAGGACGCAGTTCCGCAGCGTTCCACTCGATGCAACATGAAGGTGATACCATTCTCAATCGGTTTTCAAGGATGATTAAAACCATATATAAAAGAAAAGATGTGTTGAGTCATAATTATACACAACGTTTTCTTATCTACTGCGGATCTCAAGCCACCCCCACAATTTTTCTGGGAAACAAAAGAAAATAATTAATTCTCCATGTGTAAGTAAGTTGGTAATTGAAACTTGTTACGATTGATGCCATCTAGTTTTTTTTTTCCCTACCAACCTTGTGCACATTCGGCAACAAAAAAATACCTTTATTTTCGTGGACTACCATTATTCCGGATAAACATTATTTAGGATTGCGTGTACCACGCATGTATTGTAGATTACGACGCATTATTTATCAGCAAGTATAAGAATATGCTAGCATATATTTAAGGAAAGTTTTCTCATGATTGATTTGTGGTCATTTTAAGTTCCCTTAACGATAACTGATGATGATGTAGTTGTTAAAAACAAAAATGCTTAACGTGATAACCATAATTTGAATGAAATGAAAATCCAAATGAACATGGTTTTAACACAGATTTGTGCGGTTTTTTTTTTTTAAAAAAACTTATTTGTTTATTTTTTTGTTTTTTTTTTTTTTTTTTTTTTAAAAAAAAAGATAGTTTACCATTGTTGGAATTTGTCACTTTTACTTGATGATATTTAAACGAATTCTTGGGTTAAGATTATAATGAGAACAATCAAATAACAAATGAAATTTTTTTTTTCGACAAAAGACTCTCATGTGATGAGGTGCTAACCACTTTTACTTTTCATTGGGTATTATGTAAAAAGGGCTTTTAACATGATTTCTTCTATTATATCACGATTATTCATCTAAAATCATGTAAGAATGTTCCAACTCTTTTGTGATCAAATTCACAAAAAGTTTTTATTGTTAGTCATATTTAGAATAATTGTAACTAAATTTGTTCTAAAGGTATTTTAAAATTTTTTTAAATGATTTCCACAAATTTAATGCCAAAAAGTAACATTTTTTTTTTGTTACAAACACGTGAACAATATAATATATTCGCGAAAGCCCCACATTGGCACTATAAAGGTAAAAGAGAAAAAAGAAAAAGGAGAATGAACGCGGAACAATTTAAAATTTAATTAATAATTTTTAATTGGTACACACCAAGCATCACATTGAATACGTGTAACAATTCGTAAGCATGTTGCTATATAAACTCGAACAATAATAATTCTCACATTTTTTTTTATTGCATATATATTTACTTTTTCAGGGTTAAGACGGGATTTCCTATGATTTCCTGGAAAAATCGATGCCCATCCATTTTTTTTGTTTTTTTTTTTTTTTGAAACTTTTGTTACATGATTTTCTATTTACATTTTTTAGTTTGTGATATGCCACGCGACAAAATTAAAGGAAGGAAAAATATATGCAATTTAAAATTTTTTAAAAAAAAAAAAAAAAAATTAGAAATAGTAATTGTGCTTTTTTTTTTTTTTTTTTTTTTTTTTGTTAAACGAATAAAGGAATGAAAAAGCAATATGACGACAACGAAAAAATAAAAAAGCAATTTTGTTTTCGCCAAGTAACATATTAAAACAGCTTACATAATAAGCTGGGTATGTTATCATTTGTCACATATTGTGATAAACTTCATTGTAAATATGAGATATAAATAAAAAAAAATAGAAATGCATTTAACGCAAGACACGTTTCGAAGATGGTGACATGTAATGTAAGGATGCAATTGACCTTATAAATTGTATTTAAACTTATATCAAAAATAGTGTTCACTTTTTTATTTATATATGCAACATTACGTACGCTAGCTGATGACACCATTTTGGCTATTCAACAAAATGTTTTAGAAATTCCTTTTTCCTAGCCAATCGCCTCGGTTTACCGGGTCTGTTTTATTTATTTATTTACATTAATGTTTTTGTTGACCAGAATTGGATTCTTTTTTTTTTGACCTGTATAATGCGTCCGTCAGTAGTTCGTCGACAATCACCGTCAATCCAATTCAAAGTAAATGCGACAATAATCCGCAGTTTAATTTAAAGGAAGAGGTTTCACGGCAGTAATTTTATTGTGGTAAAAAAAAATTTTCAAAAACCATTAAATGAACGGCTTCTTTTCTTATTCTTTCTAAAATTGGACGAATAAAGGGTATCATCATCCCTACCGATTGTTTGGTAGTGATATTTTACTTTAGGATTATTTTCAATGAGATTCACTTATAAAAAACCTTAATATTTTCTTTTGATAAGCATCTAAACAGTTATCATACTATATTCATATGTTGACATCAATTTGATGATCCGCAGTTCCTCCGATGTTCCATGGTGGCGTTCTTTTTTTCTTGTGAGCCACTTACTCCTTTTTCTAAAAAGAATTCTTTTTTTCCCACCTCACGCAGAATGTTTATCAATTCATAAAAAGATTTCGCTTTTTACTTTTTTATTATTTGAATAATATCCCGATACCTGGCCTGGGTGTGAATAATTTAATAAATAACCACAATCATTTACAATTAATGACTTTCTCTAATTTGGCAAACAAAGATTTCATTAATACCCGATTGATTTCCGGTTGGAATTTTTGACAGAGAAACTAAAAACCGGTTTTTTTGATTCCCTCTTCACATGAGGTTATTAAACCTTGCCAGAAAAGGCACATTGCAGATCATGTGATTTAACGTGCCTTTACGTAATCCATCAACCTATTTGGCCGGCATTAGCTTAACGTGTGCGAGAGTTTACAATTGCCGTATTGTCACGTGATTATACGATGGATGGTATCACAAGCAACCGACTGTACCTAGTACGTAAGCCCCCTTTCGTTCTTTTAAAGATTTCGGGTTTTATCTAACGGCAACGGTTTTTTTTTTATTTTTTCGTTTCTTTTATAACAAACATGGTGACCAGACTAGAACAACCAAGAGGTGGCTTCAATTTTGATAATTTTCAAAGGTTTGTAAACAAAATTGCTTGCCTCAAGTCGATAACAGGATCAAGGGTTAAATACTTTCTTTTTTATTAATTTTGCGCGTTTTAGAAATGTCTCGCTTGAGCAAAAAGGCATTCGCATTCCCAAACCAATTAAAACTGGTACAACCATTGCCGCTATCATTTATAAGGTGAATGATGAATTAAATTAAATATATATGTGTGTATATATATATTTTTTTAAAAAAAAAAAAAATGAAAAAGAAAAAAAAAAAAAGAAGTACTTAAATTCGATCTAAAAATTTCTTGTCTCGATTGTTTAACTATATCAATGTTAGGATGGTGTTTGCCTTGGTGCTGATACACGCGCAACTTCAGGTCCTATTGTAGCAGACAAAAATTGCGCTAAAATTCATTACCTCGCTCCAAATATATATTGTTGCGGTGCCGGTACTGCTGCGGATACCGAATTTACGACTGCCCTAATTAGCTCTCAATTAGAATTACATCGATTAACTACCGGAAGACAAACTCGTCTTTCTACCGCTAGGAGTATGTTATCTCAAATGCTATTTAAGTATCAAGGGCATGTTTCCGCCGCTTTAATCATTGGCGGTTATGATGTAAACGGTCCTAACTTATACTCCGTAATGCCTCATGGAAGTGTGGATAATGTACCTTTTATGACTATGGGAAGTGGTAGTTTGGCTGCTATGGCCGTTTTCGAAAGAAGTTGGAGAAAAGATCTTGAGGTGACCAAGTTAATTTACATGTTCCAAATATTTTAGGTGTTGTAAAAATGTTTACCTTTATTTTATTTTTTTTAATAGCGTCAGGAAGCTATAGATCTCGTCAAAGATGCTATCGATGCTGGTATTTTCAATGATCTTGGTTCTGGATCAAATGTTGACATTAATGTAATTGAAAAGGACAAAGTGGACATATACAGAAATTATTATAAACCTAATGAACGCGCTCCAAAAGAGAAAGTTTATAAATTCAAACGCGGAACCACACGTAATTATAAAGCTTGTCATGTAATATTTGTGTAATTTTTTTTTTTATTTTTTTTTACTAACATATCATTTTAATATACTTATTAGCTATCCTTAAGGAATCTATTAAAGATATCCTCGTCATTACAGAGGGTGTTGAAGCTATGGATATTTCGTAAAAGGTTAAAATGAAATTCTTTAGAATTTGCTTAGTTATTGTTATTTTATAAATAATATATATGTATTTTTTGGAGAAATTTCAATTGAAGCCAATAAAGATAAAAAACAATAAAAATAATTTAAAAATTGATCGCTTTATATCAATAATAAATGTATCTATTCTGAGTTAGCAAACGTCTTGTATTTTAATTGAAATTTCTTAATAATTAAATATTTTTTTTTTTTTTAAAAAAAAAAAAAATCAAATCAATTTTATTATAAACAAATAATCTGATCCTTAAAGTTACAAATGAAGTTAGCTTTGAATTAAATTATTTATAAATAAAAACTTAAATGAATAATTTAATAATAACATTAAATTAAAACTTTTTTTGCAAATTAAATCAAATAAATAGAATAAAATTATTTGATAATAAATTTGATAATTAAAATTTTAATAAATAATTTAAATTAAATTTAAATATTATAAAAAAAAAGGGCTGATATTATTTTTTCTTTCTTATAAAAATTATTTTTATTATTTTATTATTCATATAAAATAAAACAAAAGATTAATTTATACATTTTTCAATAAATAAATAATAAAAATTATTTAAAAAAACTTATTAAAAACTTTATAAATAACTTTTCTCTAATCTAAAACTTTATTAAGTTTTAAAATTTAAATAAATATATTATATTATAAATAAATAGTTTAATCACAAATATATTAAAACTTAAAACTATTTAAAATAATTCAGTATAAGTATCTTTAATCTTTATTAATAGTATTCAAATATTTTAATAAATTAATAAAAAAAATATATATATATTTTTTTTTATATTATTTATTTAATTTCTATGTTTTAAATATCAAAGTTAAAATATAGTTAATTTTTTTACTTATCAAAATTTATATTTTAAGAAATTCTCATTATTTTACAGATATTTAGAATTTTAAATCAATCCTATTATTTACTATATTGATTTAAAATTTTTAAATTTAATTTATTTTCTTAAATTAGTAAAATTCTATTAAAAATAATAATCTTAATTATTTTTATATTATTTAATTACATATATAAATTTGTAATATTATAATATTATTATTTAAAAATCATAAATAAAATTTTATAATATTTATAAAATTTATAATTTAATTTTATAATATTTATAAAATTTATAATTTAATTTTATATATAAAAGAAGTTTAGCAATTATTAATACTATTATTATATTAAATTATTCAACTATTTTAAACTTATTTTAAATGTAAAAATCTTAATTTATATTTGAAAATAGAATTTTGATTAAGATAAAAATACTATAAGATTTTTAAAAATTTATTATATTAAATATTTATTAATTTAATCTAATCAATTAAAGAATCATTGTAAAATTAAAAATAAAGTTAAAGTTAATTAAATATAATCAAATTTAATAATAAGATTATTAAAATTATTCTTAAACGTATTTTAAAATAATACTTATTAAAATTAATTTTGAAAATGCAATTTATATTTAATAAAGATTGTAACTTTAACAAAAAAATAAAATTAATAATAAAAATTTATATAAAATTAAAATCATGTTAAAATATAAGAACTTTGCATTAAAAAATTGACAAAATTTGTATAACATAATCAGTCAATCACGTGAATTCCTCATGTGAGATCACCAAGTCAACTACTGTATAAATAGGACGCGTATCTATTTTATGTATCGAAAGTTGGTAAAAATATCTCTTGCTTCATTTAGAAAAGAATTCTTCGGTATGCAATTATCGTACATTTACCGTTGCATATATTAGAGAAATCTTTTGAGGAAAAAGTCTATGTTCCTGAAAGTGCAGTGTTGGCCATTTGACCAATTTGGCCGGCCAAAAAATTCTAGGCCGCGGCCAAATGCCAACACTGCGATAATGTGAGACTAAAATACCTCATACTATGAAAAGTAAAATGTTTCTATATGATGAAGAAGCAACACAGGTGATCATTTTTGAAAATAACGATGAAAGAGGGATATTATTGTTGAAATCCCAACCGGTAAGTGAATAATGAGTCAACATGACCTGGTTGATTTTAATGTTTGTCAAATATACACTGCTTTTTATTATTTTCCTAACATTATCTTTTTAATCTCATTGCTTTTTCACTTAAAAATGTAGAATTATCCAGATACTCCTCTTGCATAACAGTATCCGGATACTCCTCTTGCACAGCAGTATTCAGATACTCCTCTTGCCCAACAGTATCTGGAAGAATATTAGACCCGAAGAAGGCATCTTGGATATGTTACAACCCGTCAATTACCTACCCTATACAGCGATAAATTTCCAATATCTCCCTATCATTTAACCTCGTATCTCCAAACTAAGAGTTTCCACCTGCGAAGATATAGCTTCTTATAAGTGGACTGGTCATATTGAAAAAGTTCTTAAATATTTTAAAGATAACCTGGACCTAACCACTAGAATGTCATTGAAGACGTTTCCAACAACAAAAATTTACTTGATATTTGTAAATCGTATTTAGTATCAATAGTGAAACAGATCTCGTCTTAATAGAAAGTAGTTATATCAAGAGCAAAATGTTAGAGTTGGAATTCATACAACAATTGAATTAAAAAAAAATTGAAAGATGGAGATTACTGGCAGGCTATCCTTCAAATGATAGTAGCCGATACCAGTGATATGCACTTGGAAGATTGGAAGCACCCTTGGAAGCACTTTCAGAAGGATTGGAAGCATAATTCTCTAATAAATACATTGGATTGGAAGCTTCCAACAAAATTTTATACTATTGGAAGCAAAAATGCACATCACTGGCTGATACCCTTACAAATAAAGACAAAGTTTTTGGGGTCTCAACCGACATGAATGTTTGGATAATTTATTGGTTAGATAAAAATAAAACAATCATGTCGGTTATCCTGAACCATAATATTAAGGCCTTCGAATTGATTGCAAAATTTTTGGAAAAAGATTTTAAAATCAAGGGTATGCCAAAGATATAACGAACAAAATTTTTGGATATATAAAATGATTCATAAAATATATTTTTATATATAACAAAAAAGAGGTGATTATCCTTGGATTTCAAATTTTCTATACATTTTTTTACAAAATGAATCAAAATGAGCTTTTAAACTCATTAATTTTTTCTCTACCAGATATCACTACTGTAAGGAACCTACTAAACTGAAAAGATACTGAGAGGATTTAGAAAGGGGGAACATGTTTTATATAAAATTATATATAGATTATTAATCTAATAATTTCTTATTATTTTAGTAACTTTATTAATACAACAATTTATATATTTTTATATTTTATATTTTATTTTAGCGTATTGTAGCACTATCGTTCATTTTACCTTATATTAAAATAATAATAATAAGGGGAGGGCCAGAAATGACGTCATTCTATAAGGGGGAGGGGGGGAGTGCCTATGATGACGTTACATGAGTCCATTTTAAGAAAGAGATTTGTGCCAACCATCCGCATCATAAATTTACTGTGCGTCGCATTTAATTAAACTAATTTAAACTGTTATAATTTAATGCTATATGTTTTAGTGTTACAATTTAATGCTTTTTAGTATCACAAGATTTTTTAGTGTTACAATTAGCTTTAAAAAAAATCATCTCGCTTTAATCTTTATTTTAAAAATGTAAGAATTTCACGCTTTATATTAAAAATGGAGGAATTTTTTTCTTACGTTTGTTGCGTTGCGGGTTTCTTTTTATCCTTACGATGAAACAAATATATTTTCGAGAACACAAATACTCTAAGAGTTACCTTGTTTTGAAGCCACAAAACCTTTATGAACAGTATGTTAATGCTTTTACGTTTTTGGTAATGGTAAAAAGCCATAATATTGCTCCTAACAAAAAGGAGCTCCAGCTTCAAGCACAAAGTAATTAGTGAGAAATCAAAAAAAAACAGTAAAGATAATATTAAAAGCCTTATTTCTGAATTATTAAGGACACCTATTCAACCTTCCTCCTTTACTTTTTTTCACAATCTTTACGGCAGAACTCTATAGTTGAACCTTCAACATCCCTTCCAGAAACTCTTCCAAATACCCCTAATAATACACAACTTCCATCTAACGCATCAACACAAAGACAATTGAATACTATTATTCCAAAAACTAAGGCCAAAATATATGAATATATCAGGTTATCACAAGTAGCGACGTCACTGGAACTTCACTCAAAATTTTTTTTAAAGACTAAAAAGCTCGAGGAGACTATATTGATAGGGAAAGATAAGCTTAAGCGGTTGAAGGGCAATGCGGCAGCTCAAAAATGAGCTCAAGAAAAAAAGTGGCAAATGTTAGAAAAGGAGAATATTGTGAAAGTATATGATACACTGGGTCGGCTGTCATATTTGATGAAGGATTTTAATTTCTTAGAAAAGATGCATAGCAGCATTGAATTTGGAGCTGCAGATCACAAACAACGTAAGGAGGTAATCAAAATACGAACAATTAAACACCTCTGTGAAAAGTTAGAAGAGAACTATAATGTACAGTAGCGGTCATAAGTATCCGACCGCCTCTAACTCCGGTTACAAGTAAGTAAATTCAAAATTTTTTTTTTTATTTAAAAAATACATAACCAACTAACTAAAATTAATACATTGTGT